TCGCTTTTCTCTGGCACTCCTTATTACTGGTATTGTATTCATTTCTAAAAACATGAAATGATAACAGCAAAAAACTGCAATATAAGCACTGGTAAAAAATGGTTGCTGAGACATTAGTTTTATAATACACAGATGTCCTCAAGGACACATGGCACAGTGGATAAAGGCGTTGGTTAGATCCAGTGACAGGACACAAAGAGTGTGAGTTCAATACCCGGTTAAGGCAGTGGAGAACTTGGAGATAACTGACATCCATTAATGGCTAGAACAGTCTACAGAGCGAAATAAAAAGTTCAGTTCGACATTCCACCCACCTGAAGAAGGCCGAAGCGCACAAAGGCCGAAAATATGGCGAATAGTCCGAATAATGTAAATAGTGTACGTCGTCATTTGCATGCAAAAAATCAGTTTGATCTCGTAAGCTTTGGAGTTATTCGAATTAAATTTAAATATTTGCCAACTAAACGTCTATTGACTATTTCTTTGATATTTAATAGCCATATTATTTAATAGCCATATTATTGATGTTTAATAGCCATAATAAACCGATATTAAGAAATTGTAGACAAGTATGAGATTGATTAAATGTTGATTTATTAATTAAACTTCAAAACAAAAATTATGATAGCGAAATGGAAGGATTCAAAACTATATATTATAACTGCTTGTTTCTCCTTTAGTTAGTACAGATATCGTGTACGTTATTATTTGTCATTACCAGAGATAAATAATAAACCATTCCGAAGACTGAAGAACAATAAATCAGGGATGCAGTTTGGTTTTAATGAGAGAAAAAACAAGCACAATAACAATAAATAGAAGAAAGAAAGAAAGTGAAAAAGAGGATACCGCTTTCATGCGTTTAACGTCTGCTTCAGTGAAATCGGAAAACTTGTCAATTTTGAATTTTATTTTTCATTTGTATATTTCTTTGAATAATGACATGCATTCATAATTATGGTGGTTATTACAATATTTGGTTAAAGTTGTTAAGCTCAACGGGGCAATAGGGGAATTTTCCTAGGTATCTTAGTCGTGGGATTCGCAAGAGCTTATTCAATTATTAAATTAAGAATTAGGACTCATCTGAAAATTCAAATAGAAAAACCATGAAATTTTCAAGAGATACTGCTAGAATTTAAATATTTAAAAAAATAATTTTGACTATTCTGTCCCTTCCCAATTCTCTTTTATTATATTTGATTTAAAAATGTGTTATTTGTATAGTTTACATGGCTGACTGGTTAGAACGTTCGCTTTCTGACCATGAGACCTGGGGTTCGAATTTCACCATGGTCGATTTGATGTTATTGGTCTGGAGGAGGCGAGCCCAGCGTATTAATAAATCTGCTAGGCAAACATCTTTGGAAAGTGCCTGAAAACCATATCGTGGGTAGACCAAAGCGTCTACCCAATTTCATTTATGACTGAAATTGGGTAGACAGAACCCTTGGGAGCCGTCGATGGTTGTACTAACACGAAGTCCCAAGTCATCGTGACCGAGTGTTTGAGCGTGCTAACATTGTTCAGACCACTGATCATCGCATAAAGCTCATTATCTCGAATTTGCTTCGAACAGTTTTTGTCACATTTTAGACGTTAAAACAAAACTGGAGTTCAAGTTAAAGTAATTTCATTATGTTTTATTAAAGTTATTGAATTTATTATAAAAACTGCCGTCGGAAGTTATTATGCAGATTAAACTAAAATCAGTTTAAGATCTCTGAAATCTAATAAGACTGTTTTTTTTCTTTTTTTTCCATAATATATGTGGGAACTTTTTGTCCTTCTTGACTCCCTCAATTCCACCCAGTTCAAAGATCTGAGCATTGGTCAAAAGTGGTCGTTTCGCTATAAATTGCTTTAGTTTATGTTCCCATCGAGGAAACAAGATCCTCAAGCCTTTTCCTTTGCTTCTGGTTCTCAATTTAGTTATATTTTCAGTAGCCCTCTTTATCATTCGATAGTCTCTACGTAGCTCCTTTGATATCTCCAATGTGGAAATTCTCTCACTTAATAACTTTATTTTCTGTTTTTCAGCATTTCCATTACCCATGTTCCCACATATATTATGGAAAAAAAGAAAGAAAAAAAAACCCCAGTTTTATTAGCTTTCAGAGATCTTAAACTGATTTTAGTTTAATCTGCATAATAACTTCCGACTGCAGCTTTTATAATAAATTCAATAACTTTAATGAAACATTGAAATTACTTAAATTCCAGCTTTGATTTGACGTCTAAATTAATCGCTTAAAATGTGACAAAACTGATCGAAGCAAATTTGATGTATTGAACCTTATGCGATTTGTATAATAACTTCAGGCGGACTGTAGTTTTCAAGTTAATGTTTTAGGTTTTGTAGTAATTTGCGGTGTTATGCGAAACTATCCCTAGCGTAGCATATTTTTGGTTCAATTTCTTTATATCCTAAATTTGTTATAACTGAAGAGCAACAAAAATAAGACGAAAACTACTCAAGAACTGATAATGACAATGCTTCATCTAAAAAGGAAATATTTTTAAAATAGGTAATATTCAAACTGTAATATTCCGAAGTATATCTACTTATCCAGTTATTTATTTTATAGCTAAAACCATGCTAAACAAGAATTTATTAATTTATATATTTTCTTACTAGCTAATTGAAAAAAAGAGATGTATTGACAATTAAAGCAAAATCACGTGAGATTATATTTTATATATATTTAGAGTGACACAAATTAATCTGCAAAGGTACATCAATAAGTTAATAACCTAGTGACGAAAAAGCGTTTATTTTACACTATAGATGTTTGCTTTTCAATGGCACTTCACCCAACGCCTTATCAGAAGATTGAGAGTTATACCTTGAAAGTTTTAGATAAAACTTTTGCTAATATCTCGGCTACTGACATAGTGTTATTCACACGTAAAAAAAAAATGTACTCAGTCTGATTTCTGTCTTAAATGCCTTGTCCCTTGTGGACATAGACGACCACGGCGCTAAACAAATTATTTTTCTTTATTATCTGTTAATTGTTATGGCCTCTTGAGAAGGATAGTGTTGTGGTTTGCTTTTGATTTCTATACGGGTTGGATTTCGAAGTTTTCTTTCTCTTAGATTGGTTACCAACCAAGGCTACAAAGTTCAGTCTATCCTCTCTAATTAATTAACAGGTGGGGTGAAGACGTGGATTTACGTTTTTCCTGATGGTATTCCTGGGAAATTGATCGCAGCGGGCAAAATTTAAACTTAACTTGCTGATGCCACTTTTAGTGCCCACAACCGCTACGCTACCCAAACATTCTTGATTTCAGCGTGACATTTTAAAACATGGGTCATATTTTATTTTAATACTGTTATTCTTCTGTTATTAATTATTTACCTTTAATTAACATTAAAAGACCGTCGTGCCTGTCCCTACAGAATTAGATTTGAAGACGTAAATATGCAAGCACTTTGTTTCATTGTGAAAACTAACCTGACACACCTCATTTAAGGATGCAATCGGGAGGTGCTTCTAATTTGAGTAATTGGAACTAAAGAGTTATGCGGCTGACACTACCCTCCGCGTTGCGCGATATTTGTTTTGATCATATTTCTTCTATCTTAATAACGAGCATGTGATGAGAAGGTTCATTAAATGCAATTTCTCGTGTAGAAAATGAAAATCACAAGCTCTGTGAAATAATCAATACCCAAGCCAAAATTAAGAAGGCCTTTAATAAGCAAGAGGCAGTAAATTCATAATAGACAAGCAGCAAGCTTCTCCATATGGAGTCTAATTACTAAACGACGCGTTCTTAATTCTTCTTTTCTTCATCCACTCGGCTCTTTGCTTTGGACCACTTTATTTTATTTGGGTTTCCTACTTTCCCGCCAAAATCTTTCACCCCCTGTAAGCCAAATTATGGATGATCAACATGCAATAACTACCAATATCTATATTAAAATATCTTTCGCTGTAGTTACTTATCTACCAGCATGCACTGGTTTTGCTTAATGAAACTTTTGACTCCTGCAAATGCAAATCTTCAGGACTTTGGTTTTTACTTTTAAACCCGAATTTCCAAGGATCAAAACCAGAAAAATTTTGAATTTTTATTATAGATTAGCTTTCTTGAATAATAAAATATTTTCATTATAGGTTCTTCTTCTTGCTCTGCAACCCATTTATTCAAGCTCTCTGTGTGGGTTATGCATTGTTTTCCTCTGTCCCTCTAGCCTTCAATCTGTCCCGTGAGTATCAAATTTTCCAACCCTCTTTCTTCATTATGGGCCCTAGACATTTCAACGGTTTCTTCCTGGTGTTAAAGCTTTAATTAATAATAATATTTTTTATTTTTTATTATAGGTTAGCCAGAAAAGAAATTTGCCGCTAAGGGATTATCAAAAGCTTTATCGCTACTGGATAAACTCCTTGCACATTTTGAAGGCATGAACCCAAACATTGAACGATTTGCAAGAATTGAATGGATGCCACACGATGTGTTTCGTTCATAACGTGAGTTTTATGAGGAGAAAAAGAAACAAGCAATTTAGATAAAGGTTAGCATATTCGTGAAAAAACAAAAAAAAAAAACTTCACCGACTACGTCGGGCCCTACACCAGCTGATAACATTGACGATCCCCCAACCAATCCCCAGCGACTAATAAGATGTTTTCTATTTGTATACATTTAGTATGTTTTGCAAATAAAATGTTTTCTGTTTTTGGCGCCAATATTGGTTTTTCTTGCATATTTATTGAATGATGAATTCGTTTTCTACACTTTATCAACACTTTGCAAGTTTTTTAAAGCCAGAAATTTTTTTTTTACATTGTAAGAATTCCTGGGGGAGATAATAATTGTTTAATGATACAATTCTTACTAATTAACCCATTGCTGGGGGAGAAGAAGTGTCTCATAGCTTTTCCAAGGTTATTTGCGCGTAAGTGAATATAACAAATCCAGTGGGAATTGGAACTTGGATCCCCGATTAACAATTCCGGGCAATTACACCACCCACACATCAAAACTTACAGCACCTGGTATTCCCAAGCAGTCTCCCATCTAGGTTCTGACCAGGATCGACATTGCTTAACTTCACTGATTGCACGAGAACCGGTGTTTCAACGTGATACGACCGTTATCCTTTTTGTATGTTTAGCAAACATTAAACCGACTATACTGTAGTATGCAGTGTTTGACATGAATTTAGCGAACGTAAAAATAAGAAACAAAACAATAGAGACATGATACAAATGGTATCAAACGTAAAAAAGAAAAACGTAAAAATTATAACGAATGCAATAATACCTAAAAAAAAAATAGATAAAAAGATTTGAACATTAATTACAGGCCGACTTACGACCAGATTGATTTACGACATGTAAGTCGTAACCAATGGTGGTTAATTAGTTTCCTGAAGTATTTGTCTGCAATTAAAACAGGACAAATAAGTCAAAGATAGTGGTATGTCTGCATGCAAGCTTGTCGAAGAGGAAAAAAAAGACGTAAAATGGTGAAAATTTAGTGCAAAGAATGCATAACTCCATTTTCGCAATGTTTCTCGGATTATCATGCTGTTAACAAAATATGAAATTTTGGAATTTAACATTTATTTTATTTCATTTTTATTTATTTATTTTTTTTAATTTAAGAATTAAAATATTTTATAGTTTTCGTATAAAATAAGGATAAAACTATTATTTAAAAATTCTTTTTTTCTTTTTTTTTTTTTTACTTTTTCTGCTGTTTAAGGGTTAAGCCGAACCTATAGAATGAACATTCTTAATTTCTGTGTTTATGTTCATAAAATTTATTTTGAAGCCCAAATGTAATATTTTATCACCTCATCTTAAATACAGTCAAATCTTATGGACTTGATCTCTTTTACAAGTTATTTCTACTCAGTACTTGACGTTGCACATATATGTTAATTCCACCAATTTATTTGGATGGTATTTACTAATATTTACATTTTTCCTCAGACCTCCAAAGTGTTGAACATAAGCAAAACATGAAAATGTTGTCACGTAATATATTTATTTTGTAATTGATACAATTTAACGCGGGTAAAAATCGGGTCGACGTTTGGTCTTCTGTTGAACGATAGCAGTCACTAACTTGTTATTGTTGCCAATTAAAACACTGCTGGCAAGATAAAGTTTCCTTTATACAAATGTCAATAATAGTGGTTAATCCAAAACATTAATCATCCAAATAAAATTGAAGTTTATTTTCACTCCGCATTGCTTTTTACATAAACATTTTTCATTGTAAATATCCTTTAATATAGCATCCTATTATTCTGCTTGTCTGCCTGTAAAACCGTTATGCATTCTTCTCTACTTAGAATTAACGTGTAGTATCTGCTCAATCCCCGGCTTTTCTGAGCTGGAATCGTAATATTATAAAACATCTTGTAACGACATTCACCCGAGGTGGGTTGAGCCGGCTCCAATATTGGAGTTTCATGGGTATTTGGAATTCACAAGCTGTCCCCAACCCGCATGTATAGCACATGAGATTTGATTATAGTGGTGAAGGTTTCGTGCAGGACCATCCACACTTTTTGAAGGGCCGATTACAGAGACCTGGTGCACTACGTGCCACAAGGTCCCCAAACGACCCTCCGCAGGTTTTGAATTCAGAGTTTTTCTTCTCCTAGAAGAGTTGCCATCAAAGGCTATAGAACTCGGTCTGTCCTGCTATTTACCCATAGCTGGAGGGAGAAGAAGAGGTTTCACACCTTTCCCAAGGGTATTAGCACGTAAGTAAATGTAATGGATTCGACTGGAATTCGAACTCGGCTATCCATTACTCCACCGTGCCTCCCTTATAAAACATGGCACGCAAGATACAGAAAAATAGCAAACGCAGAATGTGTAGCAATAAATGAAGGACTATTAATCAAATTGGAGTTTTAACTTCCATAATCGTTCATTTCCTGGCGTATGTCATGTCCATTAAGTATCAGGAGCAGAATTCACGGAATGTATTTCTCTGTATAGATGGAACGAAGTTATATTGGTCTGGGTATATAGTGATTTTCCAAGCGTAGCTGAGATGTGGCACAAAGCCGAAAAGTAGGAGGCAGTGAGAATCGAACTCACTACTCGAGGTGCTCCTTGTTCTGGGTATATAAATCACGCAACTGGTAAATTCGAATGTTAGAATCTTCAGTCTATCTATCGGTCCGTTATGCCGCAAAATTGGACTTTCTAATTTCTAGAGTGTATAAATCTCTAAGGTTTTCTCTGGGGACATTGTCTGAGATGAATGAATATTAAGCAATTTGAACCAGAGAGAAAACAAAAATAGACATAGACCCCGACGGAAGTCATCGGATCTGAACGGTGCAAACCATTCGACCTTAAAAATTAATTATTCTTACACAGAGCAGAATGTGAACTTAGACAAAAAATAATTCACTGAGGCGTTGAAGTTCAAATGAGTCGGGGCCTGCGAAACCAAATTTAGCTATAATAGACAGTGAATAAAGAATTTGTCAACCTATGTTGAGTTATTTAATGTCGAAAACAAGTTTTACGGGACAAAAATCACACAGAATTAATAGATAGGTAGGCCTAAGTCCGGTTTACGCAAGAGTCAAAAAAGTAGGCGTGGGTTTGGTTTAAAATAGATTAAAAAATGAGTAGATATAGACGAAAAGGTAAGAATACTTCCGGTTTCACTAGACATAGGTCAGATTTAAATTGCTACATGGGTCCGGTTTTATACTAGAGTAAAAAAAAAAAAATCTAGACATAGTTATGATTAGCATTAGAGACGAAAAGGTAGACAGATCCCCGGTTTAATATTTGAGCAAAATTAGAAGACATAAGTCGTATACAGGCCCGGTTTTACATTGGACTTAAAAAGGTGAACATAGGTCCAGTTGACACTAGAGTAAAAGAAAGAGCCGGAAAGGTAGATATTGTTTCCACTAGAGTAAAAAAAAAGTAGCAGTAGATCTGGTTTACACTAAGGTAAAATAATAATAATAATAATAATAATAATAATAATAATAAAAAAGGTAGACATAGCTCTGGTTTACATTAGTTAAAAAAGATAGACGTAGGTTTGAAAAGGTAGACATTTTTAGTTTACACTAGTGTCTGAAAGGTAGACATAGCTCCGATTTACATTCGAGTCGAAAAGGTAGAAACAGTTCCTCCGGTTTTCACAAGTCAAAATAGTGGAAATAAGCCCGGTTTTATACTAGGGTCAATATCATTGAACATCATTATATAAAATAATAATGATAATGCATTACTACGAGGGAATGTTGATCCGTTGTGAAACGTTCAAACGACCGGAATTTACCTATACAAACAAACACAAAATCTACAAACCTGAATCTGTTTTAGAGAATAATCGACTTTGTGAGAGTCAAATGTATCACTATATGATATTAAATCTAATTTCAATATCTGCTATGTATAGTTTCTCTAAGATTTTCTATAATATTTTCTATAATCTAACTATAACATATATATAAGATTCTCATTTTACATAAACTTGCCTACTATTACGGTTGTTTTTTTGAATGGGTGAACGGGTGTTCTCTTTGGAAGGCCCCGAGCCTTGGGCGCCTATTGGGATTCAAACTCAGCCTAGACCTCAAGTGGAATTTGTACACACAATCCATCGCTAAAGATGCTGGGGAAATGGTTGGTTCTCTGTAGCGCTCCAGTAAGTAGGTACTTACTCGAGCGCTATCAGGTAAGAAATGGAGTACTGTTGCCATATATGGGCAGGTGCTCTCTCATCTTGTTTTTTTCAGTCTCGGTAGAGTTCAAAAGCGTCTCCGCATTATTTTCTACCCTAAAATCACTTTCCCATAGAAGAAACGTTACAAGCCTCTTGCTACTCTGCAGCTATTTCCATGGAAAGTGTTCAGACGAAATACATTCTTTAACTTCACCAATTCTAACCTTCATGGGTAAGACCTGTCATACTAAGCACATTTTTAGCGAACTACCCAATTCCCTTCGTATTTCATTGGTGATATGTAAGTTCCAATTGAACAGCTACTTTATGCAACCGACTCCCAAGAGAATGTTTCCCCGATCACTACAATCTTAACCTGTGCAAGTCTAGGGTTAACCGCTATCTTCTTCGCATATCCTCATAAACTCTGCCCTTAACCCTTGATCTGTAACCCTCTATCTTAACTGGCTCTCGGGCCTTGTACAGGGTGAACATTATTGTAAAATTAATGGGATTAAATCTATTTCCAATCTCTTTTATAGTTTTCATTAAATTTCTAATAGTCATCTAACGTTAAAATTATATGATTCTATGAAGTGTATATAAACAATTAAGTGACAACAAGTTTCCCCAGTCTCTCGGCTCATTTCTATTATGTTTTTTTATCTAAATTGTTTCGATTCTTTTACGGATGTCCAGTTCTTTTAGTCGTAATGTTGTACTCTTTTGAACTGCCCCAAAAGTACCAATAACTTCCAGTGAAAGCCATTAGTTACTATTAATGTGGTGAAGGTGTTGTTATAATAATAATAATAATAATAATAATAATAATAATAATAATAAGAAGAAGAAGAAGAAGTAGTAGTAGTAGTAGTAGTATTCTTCACTAACAATACAACTTCAGTTATAAATGTATAAAAACCGGAAGCTACGTTTTAACAACTGTACAAGTTTCTGTCTGAATTTCTCTGATGAAGTTTTCATTATTTACGTTCGAACTAATGTCCCTATCTTTGTTATCATTATCATAATGTTGAGGACATTAGTCGAACTGTAAATAATGTAAATAGATGAACAGGCGGTGTTATTTTTATTTTTTATTTATTTATTTATTTCTGCTAAATGTAGTTTTGGTTTTTATACAAAGTCATTGGTATGTGACCCACAGTAAAACTAGGACCCATTACAAATGATATACAAGTCCAGTTTGTTCAGCACTGATCTAGATCAGGCGTTTAAATTATTTCATTCAGCTGATTTCTATTGTAAACTAAAGAAATTCTTATCTTTGTTTGCTGATTGATACACTCCTTTTTCAGCTAGTTCATTAGTCTGGTTTTCTTTTTATCTCGTGTCGAGTCAGTTGTTGGTTTACGAAAAAAAATACCTGTGGAATAAAGTGACCCCCCCCCAAAAAAAAACTGACACTTTATTAAAAAATATAATAATTATGAACAACAGCTTATCAGAAATCTCAGATTAACTGGTTTATTTTCTACGGGTTACCAACCTTTTGCAAGTTATTTAAAGCCCCAAAATATATTTTTATTCTTTGTAGATACTCCCTACTAATTAACCCATAGCTGGGGGAGAAGAGGGGCGATTCATACCTTTCCCAAGGGTATTTGGGCATAAGTGAATATAACGAACCCGACTGGAATTGAAACTCGGTTCTCCGATTTCCAATTCGTTATCCATTACACCACTCGCACATCCAAGCTTACAGCACCCAGTTTTCCCAAGCGGTCACCAATTTAGGCATTGATCAGGCTTGACAATGCTTAAGTTCGGTAATCGTACGACGACCGGTGTTTCAATGTGATGTGGTCGTAAGCCGGAAGACCTCTCAAGGAAACTGCTGGTCATTACATCATTTTTGGTTCGGTGATTTGATTCAGATTTTGATTCGGTGATTTACGGATAGAATTATTTAAAGTCAGTCTCTGTTTCTTGTCTCAAAGTATCAGCAGCCCGCGGCTATCTGTATAGTTACACACTCATTTATAATAACGAATTGTATCATTTTAGTTTATGCGGGCGTAGACGCCAGCATACTGAATCTAACGCTGCAGCCAGATAATGTTCGAAGTCATCAGTGACCAAATAGTGTGAATTACTGACTTAAAACTGGTCAGATGCGAAAAATCTAGCAAAGGAAAGGAGACACAATTACGTAACTTACAATGTGAGCTATAGGAGGGGCTAGCCAGAGAAGAGGAAATAGGGTGCAGTTGGGGGCAATTGATAAAAGGGGACAATGCGGAAAGGAATAAATATAATCAATAAAAATATTTTTTTAAATCAGTTTCTGATTAAAAAATATATCTTAAACGCATAAGTAGTAACAGGCGAAAGAAACTTCGAGAAGCATATTTTCAAGTAATCAATAGATGTTTAGTCCTCAACAAAAGGACGGGAATTGTCCTGCATCTATATTCTAAGTTCACGCCAACTTTAGAACACTAGTCTTATTTTTTTTAACCATTTCAATCGAAACAAAATAATAAAAGCACCAAGATGTAAGTGGTTACTGATCGTTAGAGAATATGAGGAAAAAAACGCTATTAAGGAGAGAGAACAATAAAAGAACAAGAATTAAGAAGAGAGAAGATAACAATTGACATTGCATTTAAATGTTTGAAGATAAAAGTTGACCGGAAAGCATGGAGCTGGAACATGGTTCCACAAGAGAGAAGTGCGATACAATAAACTGTTAGCACTGAAATTACGGTTACTTCTAGCAATCTCAACTGTAAAATTATGAGACCTTGCTGCCAATCTAGTACTGCGCTTAAACCTACCATATGATGCAGTGACCGATGAGGAGCATTATAAACTCGTATATCGTAGTGGTTGATACTCAAGCACAAACTGAATATGGACAAATTCTGTTGTTCTTGACGACAAGGAAACTATTTGTATTATCCACTCTTCACATATTTAATAACACTTCATTTTGTCTTTCGAAAAAGTTATTAAAATACAATACATACTTTAATAATTAGCATCGTCGGAAAGCTAATATTTTGCCAGCAGCATTCGGAGGACATAATGAAGTCAAGGTATACATTTCAAAAAGAGGACTTTAATTAACTTCATTTAGCACTTAACAGATACACGAACAGAAATATTAAGACATAGCATCCCTGGCAAACGTATTCGTAACAGCAGTATGCAGTAGGAAATGTAGCGCATTTTAAAAGCTGGACTTTAATTAACGTCATTTAATACTTAACAGTTAAAGTAACAAAGAGATTAATAAATAGCATTGCTGAAAAACATGCATTAGTTACGGTAGTGAAGTAACTAAAAAATGGCGACAGGGTGTGAATTTCAATAAGGGATCATTAGATAACGCTGTTTAGCGTTTGGCGCATAACAAGAAGGATGTGTAATGTAATCAATCCTGACTTGGCATCTCGACTTCAGGCACTTTCTCACCAACCTGACATGGTTTCCCTCAGTCTTTTTTACAAATATATCCATGACAGCTGCTCTGACGAGATTTTTTTCCTGGTGCTCCAACTAAATGACTTTAAGCGTGCTACTAGATTGGCATCTAGGTCACACCCTTTTACTAATGAAATAGCTAAATGCAACAAACACTTTTACCTCAATATTTTCTTTTCTTGCACTTCCCACCAGTGGAACATCTATCAGTTTTCTTGCTTCCCTGATAACTACAATCTTCAAAAATTTAAATGAACATCAATCGCCATCTTTTGTCTTCTTGAATCCCGTTCATATTTTGTCCTTTCTTCATTCCTCCCTATTCTCAGTCTTCTCTTTCACTTTCACTCCCTGTAACCCCTGCGTACTTGTGGCATTTCCACTTTGCTTGGGGTGAAATGATTAAATATAATGATGTTAATGATACGATGAAGATATTTTTTTTAGCATTTTTCATATTTCTTTTCACAATGGCAATGTCTATTTCGCATACTTTTTTCTTAGCCTACACTGATTTAATTAATTGATTACCCGGAAAATTTGCATTCACCTTAAATTCCAAAGCAGATCAAATTGTTAATAAAGTATATTGCTTTTCTTTTCTAATAACGCCATTTATTGTGTTTTGAGTTAATTTTGAATATTAAACAATATACTAGCAAAACCGTGAAAATTTTCACGGTTTTCTTATTTGAATTTTCTATTTAATCTTAATTATTAATTTAATGATTCAATAAGCTCCTTGCGTGTTTAACGACTATAAAATACCCATGGAATTTTCCATATTGCATTTGAACTTAACAACAGCAAAATATCACAATTATAAATATGAATGCAGGTTATTATTTAAAGAAGTATCCTATTCTACTGAAGCAGACGTTAAACACATGAGAGTATTATCCCCTCGTCTATCTTTTCTTTTCTTTTCTTTTCTTTTCTTTCTTTCTTTCTTTCTTTCTTTCTTTCTTTCTTTCTTTCTTTCTAAATTTAAAACCAAACAGCGTATTTGATATATCTTCCGTCTATCCTCACAATAATGCGCCATTGTTTATCTGAGGTAACGATAGGACGTAACGTATTTCTTAACTAACGACGTAACGAAGGAACAAGAAAAATTAAAATACGATGTTGCAATTTTCTCTCCCTTGAGCGATATTCTTCATTTGTTATTTGCCTCTTTTCTTTTCTTTTCTTATTCCGACACTGATAAAGTTAGACTTAGCACAATGGTCTCGTATGGGTAGATTTTTTTATTAAACCCAGCTTAGTGTAGTACGCAGCATAGGGCTTGCTACACTGTGGCAGGTCGATTTTGGAACCGTGTTATTGCACTCAATTTGAAAGTTGGGTGTAACATGATAAATAATGATACAAAATCTTTTTTTCCCACATCGTTACTGTTTTTTAAGGAAACGAGTTTGATGATTAAGTTTAGGTTCAAAATCGTAGAGTTGCAATTTCATTCCGATGAACAGTGAAAGCCTTACAGCACGGTCTTATAAAATTTATAATTTTTTGAAGCTTTTCACATTTTATATGGACAAGATGCACGACACAAGCACGTTATTACACTGTGTCATCAAATAAAACCTTTATTTACTTCAAAGGGAAATTATACTGAACAATTTAGTTGATGCAATGTTATACAGTGCAATAGTTTTAGTGCGATTTTCAGTAAATTCAATGCAAATTTAAAACATTTTGTCTTATAATTTCTGCCCAACGGTGTTACGGTGTTATATAGACTTTTATCTATTTTTGGTTTTTATTAATTATGAATTAACAAATGATCTAACATATCTCAGGCATTGAGGGGCACCTCGAAGTGGTGTAATGGCTAGCAAGCTGGTCTCGCTAGAACAATTACGATTGAGTAGTGAGTTCGATCCTCACTGGGTGCTCTATACTTCCGGTCTTGTGCCACATCTAAGCAGCGCTTAAAAAATCACTATCTTAGTCATTGAGTAGACTCTTTTATAATTTTTTTTTTACGCAGTTTTTACTTATCGAATATAGTAAAAAAATGAATATTTTGCTTGTGGTGATTCATAATTAGAATTCTGGTTTGAATATATTTTCTATTCAATGTATCTAATACAAGAGATAACAACTTTTTTTTAATTTATTTATTCTTGAAATAGTAAAATTTTAAAGTTAGTTTGTAAGCAAAAACCTGCAGAAATTACGAATTTCTGTACATTTTAAGACTATCTTTAAAACTAAATGCTCAAAAACTGGTAAAAGCTATGATTTTTTAATTTTTGGTGCTCGTAACTCAGTACATCAAACTTTAGATTTCGCACTGCGTACAATGTTGCTTTTCTAAAACAGTGAAAAATCAACATGCTCTATTTTTACACAATCTCTCCAGTCATGGCATCTCTGGAAGAGTTTATGCAATTATGAAGTCCTTTCACGCAGGGAGGTCTATGATGGTTAGTGTGAATGACCAGTCTTTTGAAGCTCATGAGATCAATGTGGGCGTCCTCTCTCTCCTCGGCCCTACTCTCTGCTTTTTATTAACGATCTGTCGAGTAACATTACCAGATCAGTAGTAAACATCTATGAAGATGCTACCACCGTTTATGGACGCATTTTCAAAAATCAAAATAATCGTAGCCTTGCGGCTGATCCCACCTCTCACCCCTGGGGAAATAACTGGCTCGTAACTTTCAATACGTCAGAATCCAATCTAGTAGCGTTTCATCATCATTGATTATGTCTTGACTTTTCTCCAGACACAATGAACGGTTTCGATCTCAATAAGGTTCCTTGCCTTCACTTCAAACCTCATTTACAAAGATGCTGGACAAAATGATTGGCTCATTGTATCGCTCCAGAAAGTATGTGACTTCTTCTGCGCGTCCTGGGTAAGACGATAAACTACATCTGAAACCAAGGCCTCCGATCAGAAGGTTTTGAGGAGTGTTGGATCACCTCTTACTTGGTCGTGTTCCCAGGTCCACCCTGACTCGGGGTGGTAGCACCTGTTAGGGTCCCAGCTATTGGCAAATAGTTAATCCCCAAACTGGGATAAAAGCACTATGAAAGGGTAAAAATAGATTTTAATACCAGAAATAAATTTTTGAAGAAAAAATTATTACCAGCAATAAATTTTTGAAGAAAAAATTATTACCAGCAATACATTATTACCAGCAATACATTTTGGGAAAAATATTACCAGCGATACATTCTTGGAAAAAATATTATCAGCAATAGATTCTTGGAAAAAAATATTATCAGCAATACATTCTTGGAAAAAATAATACCAGCAATACTTTTTGAAAATCTTGTCGGCATAAATAACCCCTTGAGGTTGATACACCGTGAAACAAACCAAACCAAGCCAAACCAGACTCCCTCTGCTATACTTTGTATTTCCAATAGTAATATTAGACAAAAACGGAGTATTACTCTCATCTAATCTGGAGGCACGGTAGAGTAATGGATAGCAGAGAGCCGAGTTCGAATTCCAGTCACATCCATTACATTCACTTACGTGCTAATACCCTAGGGAATGTATGAATCATCTTCTTCTCCCCACAGCTATGGGTAAATAGCAGGACAGACCGGGTTCTATAACCGTGGATGGCAACTGGTCTACTGCAGAAAAAAAATGGCAACCTACCGTGGGAAAAAATCTGCCTCGTCAGTCATGAAATGATACATGATTGCCTAAGCGTGTATCACGCATGGCACATAACTGACTGACTGATCTAACCTGGAACTGCTAAATTCTCAACTTCCTTTCTTGATACAGTTCAAAACAGTTTGCATGGTTGCGTGGGCGATTGTTTATTTTCTACTCTTCAACCTCTTTGCCCACAGATGCAACTTTGCAAGTCTGTCGTTACTCTATTGCTATTTCTATGGCAATTTTCAGAAGAGCTCCATTCTTTAATTCAACCAGTTCAGACCTTCACCCCAAGGATACGTCATGCCACGTACACGAAGTCGAGTCACCCTCATTTCCCTTCATTTCTCAAATATAAGAAGAAATTTCCACTAGGAGAACGTTTTCCCAAAAAACTACTACTACTGGATCAGACTCCCGCATGTGTGCTTCCCTGATTACTTCAAACTTGACCTCTCCAATTTAAGGGACAATCGATATCTTTCCTACTTATTCAAATAATCTTCCTTTCCTACCAGCTTCTGTTCCATTCTCATCACACATCACATTCAACTTTAGCGTTTTGAACTACCTCTACCTTGAGTGGCTCTCGAGCCTTGTGTCGGGTGAACTTTAGCATTTATAAAATGTGCTATAGAACTTCAATAGTGAAGCAATTGTATGCGAGACTGTCTTGCTTATCATTGCTCCACAGTAGTTGTATATATTTAGAACTCTAAAGTGGACAAGGACAACTTTATTTACTAAGCTTACCTTTAGTCCTTCACAGAATCACAAGGGTATAGTAAACGGTAAAGATCGAACTCACTCCACGTGTAATAGTCAGCGGTGTGAGCTTGACTATTATGCCCAGATTATTCCCTTAGAACAATACTAGGCTCCCAATGAGGATCGACTCATTAATTAGCGAATTGATCTTTGGGATCAGTTTTATTAACCGTTGCTTGACATCCGATGATTTTGTATTTTGTAGCAGTTTTTGATTTTATCATTTAGTGCCGTTGCATGATTGTAAAATATGACGAAAATCAGTATAAGTCATAAATTGTATTTTAATATGATGTGTAAGTTCATAATGTATTTTAGTCTTTAACTTATACGAAACCCGATCAAAAAGTATCGGAACTGGTACTATAAAAATAACATCTTTCTTTTCATGTGCCATGTCCTTTCAGGACGTAGGCGATCATGGCTCTCCACCCTTTATCCCTTGGTGCTCTCAGCAACTTCCTTCCCTCTGCTTCCTCCCCCAGACCACGTTCTGTCATCCATTTGCTTAAGTCCACCAGATATGTCACGCGTTGTTTTCCCTTGTCGCTCTTTCACTCTATTCGACCTGTGAGTATCCGATTCTCCAGGTCCCCCTTCCTCATTATGTATCCCAGAAACTTCAGCTACCTCTTCCTGATATTTAGTATAAGCCTTCTCCTTGTTTGCAACCTCTCTAAGATCTCATCGTTGCTTACACGCTCGGTCGATGATATCCTTAGCATCCTCCTGTAGAACCACATGTCTGTCGCCTTGAGTCTCTTCTTCATCTTTGAGGAAATCGTCCAACATTCGCTGCCGTAAAGAAGGACGGATGTCACGTAACAGCTCAGTATTATTTTCTTTGTTACCAAAGAAATCCACCTGTCTCGCAGTATTCTGCCCAGCTTTTGGAATGTGTCCTTGACCATCCCAATTCATCTACGGATCTCAGTGTCGCACTTACCGTCCTCTGTCAAGACGCTTTCCAGGAATTTAAACTTCCGCCTCTGCTTGGTTCTAGTGTTCCCGACCTTCAGATCGCATTTTGGGCTCACCCGCATACTGACAACCATGCACTCCGTCTTCTTGTAGTTTATGCTTAGTCCCTTTTTCTCACTCTCTGTCACCACCTTGTGTAAGAGATTTTGTAATTTCATTACCGTGTCTGCCACAACACATATAAAAATCAGCCTTTAATCTCCTTCAAAGTAGTCCCCTTCTGAACCCACACACTTCATCCAGCATCGTTTCCATTGATGAAAGCATTCCTTTTTCGGGGATAGCGAGCTGCTGCCTCGTCGCATTTTCTTGGATTGCCTCGGTGCCTTGAAATGTTTTTGCTTTCATGTGGGATTTGTTTTTGGAGAAAAATAGTCGTAGGAGCGAGTTCTAGGGAATATGGTGGTTGTCGGACCTGAGGTATGTTTCGCTTGGTTAAAAACGTTTGCTCAATTTATAGTCACTGATAGAACTTCTCGTGGTGTGACGAGACAGCCACACTCTGCACACTTTCCTTCCAAGTACTGCTACAAACAAGGAAAGTGAGCGAGAACATTATAACAGTGTTTATGCGTGACAGAGGTCAAAGTCTATCTGTGTCAAATACCTTCATTCTGCG